CCACATCATGCCCTCAGCACAATTTTAAAAATAAAAACTTTTCCCTACGTTATCTTATGAAACATTTATTACCCAATTTTTGGGTAAAATATAAAAGATGGGGACACGTCAGATAAATAGACAAAAATGTCAAGCCTTAAAATTGTGCATGCCCACAAAATCACAAAAATCTACCATATACAAAATTGGCCATAGGAGACATTTTAAACATTTTTACCGCTCATCAGTTTAGTCTTAACAGTGATTAATGGCCCTAGAATTATTGCTTGGGCTCTGACATTCGCAGTGCTATGTAACATGGCCGCAATCATCGGCCATGTTAAAGGGGACATACACTTTTTTTTATTTGACTTTTATTTTACACCTAATGTTTTTGCTATCACATAGGAGACTGAGAAGGCCCCTATGTGATAGAAAATTTACAGCGACAAGTTCTCTTTATGGAGACATCAGGGGTCTTTAAAACCCCTAATATCACCTAGGGACCCCCAAGAAACCTGATGAAGCAGAGATCTGTTTCACCAGCTTCTCCCCAGTTTTGTAGCCGGAGAATGACAGCTGAATGCAGAAGTGATGTAATAAACATCACTTCCACATTAAGACACTGGAGGGGAGTTCAGAGGGAGATTGTGTACTGATCTCCGATCACAGACCGGTCCGCGCGGGGGGAAACATTGGAGCTCGGGATCGGCAGCGGTGGCTGCGGTGCACCTTTGGAGGCTGAATACAAGCAATCGAACGGCTCTATATCTGCTCGAATGCTTGTATGCAAACAATGCAGGCTGTTTAAAATATGCACATGAGCGGGCACAAGGATGTTTAAAAACATCTACCTGGATCCAGGAAGCCACAGTAAGACCGTTTAATTACAACGGCTGGATGTCAGGTGGTTAAATCTTAAAAATGCATTCAAGTACCCCAACTATGAAAAAATGTTGCCTATTTGTGTAAACTAAAATCATCTCTGAATTGGTGTTGATACTGTCCTTCCTTCTGGAGGGTGGCTACTTTTGTTCCCCATGGTCCCTGTGTGTGTTGTAAAGTGGCCACTGCTCCAAGCTCGCTGCAATGATGGACTACAATCTCACTTGTTTAGTTTACTAATTTGTATTGAAAACGTAGTCTATCACCGGAGTGAACTTGGAGTGGTGGCTACTTTACAATACACATCCTATAAGGACCATAAGGACAAAGTAGCAACCCTTCAGAAGGAAGGACAGTGTCAGCATGGATTTAGAGATGATGTGTAAGGCTTAGATTGAATGTAAGGGCTAGAGTGACAGTTAACTGTTAGGATCTGGTTAAATGTTGCCAGAGTGGGGAAGAGATAAAAAAAAATTGATCTTTATTTCAGCCTGTGACTAAACTAGGGACATTTTTCCTCAGTGGGGGAGCAGTTATCACCAGGACAAGAAGGAACAGACACTGATAACAATATTATCAAACGTTCTTACCCTATAGGCGTGGCTTGGTGCATGCACGGATTGGCACACGTTAGACATCATTCACACTAAGCTACAACAAAATGTGCATATTTGGGCAGAATAACATTGAGCTATATCAAGCT